CAACAGAATTTTGGGTTATATTTTAGTTTTCATCTCTTTTGCTTAAAAAATAAAGTCACACTGATGTGATACATATATATGTATATAATTATAACTTTTTATATTTTCTTGTTCTCAATTTGGTACATAATTGTGTTTTGGAAGAATGTTATTACTTGGTATAGTTATATATCATGACTATTTTATTCTGGTCCTTTAGTAAAGCACTTAAAACCAGAGGTTTATTTAAGTGCTATTAAATCATTTGTGTCTATAGTGACTGGGTTGCCTTGATATCCTTCAGTTATTTAAAACTATAAACAAACTAAGATCATGCCATAGGCAACAGAGGATACCTTTCTGGTTTTAGTAATGCTGCTATTCCTGTGTAGTATTATTATTATTATTATTATTTCTTTTAAAATTAGATTCAAGTGGAATGCCTTGGCAACAGGTTAATATGCCCTTTCATAGGATGCATATTATAGACTCACACATTTGATTACGGTTAATTTTAAGCTAATCACCCCATAGAAGCTAACGGCCAACTATTGCATATTTTAAGTCAATTCTGTTCAGTCATGATGTGGTTAAATTGCCGTATTTAGAGATTGCGCTGCCCTACACATTCATAAATTCTAAAGTCCTTCTCTACTGGATTCTTCTGAATTGTTTTTAGCCACATTTATGGGGTTTAAAAAAAAAATATTTTTATAAAAAGGAAACCCAGAATGAACTATCGGAAGCAGCATCTTCTCTGCTGTGTGTGGAATTGCAATTTTTCCTTGTGCCTGAAGAGAAGGCATGATTTTCTTGATATACAGAGAGACTTGTGACTCCCCATATACCTTGCCAAAACAAAACAAAAAATCCAACAGAAGAGTTAAAGGGCAAAGTGCCAAAGGTGACTAGCGAAGGCACAATAAAAGGATTTACTAAAATAAAACAAACTGTTATGCTGGCAATACTTTATTATTATTTTTAATATTTATTTATTGTAGGCAATTTCAACCATTGCCAACCAGCTTTTAATCACAAAACTAATCAAATAGACCACCAACAGATTTGAATGCTTTGTGGTTTAGGGAGAAGTTGCTGTTTTTGGGGGTGGCATTGATCAGTTTGGTAGTTTCTTAGAACTGAATCTGTTTGAAAGGTTGTAATGGCATGCAATGGCTTTATATATGGCCAGCATAAGTGTCTTATGCTGTCTTTTTTTGTACACACAGGCCCAATGTTCCTCTATTACAGCTCTCCCTAAACCATCAGGTGTAAGATATAGTGAAGAATGAATTCCAAGCCATCCATTTTACGTTCAGATTTGACAACACAACATTGATATATTTTGTAGGCCCTCCATAACCCTGGCAGTTACTCAGTTGGGATGGATTTTTCTGAGTTATCACTGTTGCTTCCTTCCCCATAGGTACTAACATGAAAGTTTGCCAGAAGCAAACGTAATGTGACCCAAAACTCAGGAGTTAAATATTAAAAATGCATTCAAGTATCCTAACTATCAACAAAAATGTATCCTTTTTTTTGTTTTTTTGTGTCACTCAGCTGCAGATCCTCAAATCATCTCTGAATTCATGCTGACACTGTCCTTCCTTTTTTTTTCCCCCTATGATCTCTGTGTGTGTTGTAAAGTAGCCACTGCTCCAAGCTCACTCTCGGCATGGACTACAATCTCACGTTTTATTTTACTAATTTGTATTGAGATTGTAGTCCATCACGGTAGTGAGCTTGGAGCGATGGCTACTTTGTAACACACAAAGGTACTATGGGGAACAAAACTGGCCATCCTCCAGAAGGAAGGACAGTGTCAGCACCAATTCAGAGATGATTTGAGAATCTACAGCTGAGTGATACACAAATAAGATACATTTGCATTAATAATCAAGATACTTAAATGCTATTTCAAGGTTTATCTCATGAGTTTTATTGTCACTTTAAATGTTTCTAGAAAGAGCTTTTGTTGAAAAATGTATAAGGTGGCTGAGTATTGTATAGGCTAAAAAGCTTGGACGCTAATTTTGTTTATCCCGGCTGTATAAAAAGTAAAGTGCAGTAATTTGGCAGTATGTGCTTGTTGCACATTGTTTGGCCCTGGTCTTCTTGATGTCAGGTGCACAGTATAACAAACACTGTGAGTCACATATGTGCAATCTGTGTGGATGAGTGGCTTATGTGAAGGCAATAATTGCTCACATGGAATTTATTGCACACCTGTAATAGGCACACACAAACACTGTGCATTTGTAATATACTCACATGGGCAAGATAAAAGTTGTTCAGCTTGTAAGCATTCTGTTATGCCAGCCATGCCTAAATTGATTTCATCATTAGGATGATCAAGAGAGAAGAGATGCAGCAAGGTTTTTGGTTACCTAAAATGACAGCTCTGCACCCACTCCTGGCATTACATAATAAAATAATGCAGTCAGCATTTCTTGGTATGCAGCTTTGTCTGGCAACAGAATACACGAAGAATGCCTGATGCAGTGACCTTAAACCATAAATGTCAGTGACAAGGCCAAAAACGGCCTGCCACAAGATTGTGGAGAAACCAGTGGAGAAAATGTTTTACATTGCTCACTTAACATTATTTGTATAAATATATATAATGTATATATATTTTATTATATGTGCCTAGATGTTCTTTTCTAACTCTTTACAGTTTGTCAATGACAAAAAAACATTTTGGTTCAGCTGAGTTAACATGTAGGAATGCAAAATGATTAACGGCAAAACTAACCAGGATGGGAAGAAATGCTTCATGAAATATTGATTGTTTCCACTGCTGTTGCCAAGGTTTAGGGCTATTCATTGACATTTGAACTTTGTTATCTTAAGTTCATGTTTGCTTTCTGATATGTGTGTGTTTGTTTAAATTTTTTAAAAACCACATAAAAAGAAAGCTATTTGCCTATTTATATTGAACCTATTGTATTAGTCTAATGCTTTCTTTTGAAAGTTTGATTCTCAAGCAAGACCGATTGTTTATTCTTAAAAGGAGAACTATGGGGTTAAGGCTTTTCCCCATAGTTCTCCTTAGGGTAACGGGAGGACACAAACTAGCGTCCTCCCGTCACCCTAAGCTCAGTATACCGCAAGCTACTGCTCGCGGTATGCTGAGACGCCACAGTATACCGCAAGCTACTGCTCGCGGTATACTGAGACGCTGAAGCGGATCCCGACAGCTCTGCCTATCTAGAGGCACAGCCAGCTGTGCCCGCCCCCCTGTACCGGCAGAGAGCTGTGACAGGATCGAGAGGTGAGTGAATGCCGGTATGCGTTCGCTCACTTCCCGATCTACTGAGCCGACCTGTGACAGTCTCATGGTCACAGGTCGTCTAGAACTATGAGGTGAGTGAAAAGCACTCGCCTCATAGTTCTCCTTTTTAATGTCTTTACTGCATTAGATTTGGTCAGTCTTTTGCAGTTACACCTAGCGCAAGCATTACCTTTTTAGAAGAATGGCATCTCTTGGACAGCACAATACAGCCTGGCTCACAGATTTTTCTTAAAGTTTATTTCCACCGAACTGAGATAAGCTCTATATTATATTTGTTACATGGTCTCATTCACATAGAAAACAAATTAAAAGTGCTTCTTAATGTTTAATGTTGCTTTTACTTGGATTAAGGTTTCTTTGCTTCTTCTTAAGGGTTAACCTTTCTACTTGGCGCTTCCTTTGTATTGTTAGGAGATTAAGATGCACCCCATTCTGATGACAGCAGTGGGATTTGAAACTGCCACCATCGCATATGTCTATTTAAATTTATTTATTTTTCTTAACCGAAACATTTAATAGTTCTTGATCATATTGTGTGCATTTAATTTTGTAATACTATAGAACATTTATGAAAATACAACTGTTTCTGTAAAAAATATATTTTATCATGCACAGTACTTAGTAATATGGCACTGCAAGTTGACTGTTACTAAATAGGGGCTGTTTGGTGTTCTAATCCGCTCTGAGATCTCAGATCTGTATTGCCAGGCATCTCCAAATTTGGTTTTGTTTACATTTCTTGCAGAAGTGTGACGTTTTTATAAAAGAGAACATTTTCCTTAATAGAAAAGTTTCTTTTTATTCACCTACCAACATATAATGAATATTGCAGTTTGATGTATTTGTCACTTTAATTTGCCATTTCAGGTGTCATATTTTCATTACCAAATATGTTTCTTTTTAGATTGGAGCATACGACCAGCAAATATGGGAAAAATCTGTGGAACAAAGAGAAATAAAGGTATGAGTACCTAGTTACGTAATTACCATCCATATACTAAAAAATATTTATTGAAGAGCTGATGTCCAAAACTAAATTCACAGTGAAAATATTTGTATGATCATCTAGATTGCGTTTGGATGTTGCTTGTTTCCTGATAACAGCATGTACGCTGTTATACTGTACATCAGATTTGATCAACAAATGTTTTAGATATGGTATGAATTAGCATCATGTATCCTTCCTTGGTCAGAAGCAAGGATATTATTAGGTAGCTCAATATAACAAGAAGCCCTTTGATGAGAAAAAATAAGGTACTTCAGGCTACGTTTATTATATATTAAACTCCAAATTTAGGTTTCTATCTATGATGCTGGAGCTAAGCTTTTTAAAGTATCTACAGAAATCGGCTGTAAAACTTCTACCTGAAGCCTTTACTTGGATTAGAACAGCAATAGAGTGACTGACTGCGTTCCCGGGTGAGGGCGATCGCACTCTGGGCGGGGGGCATAGCGCCCCTCCCGCCCCTGAACGTTGGGAGGCGGCTGGTTTGCATTCCAGTGTGTTCTGGATGCCGAACACTCTGGAACGCAGACTTTGTGGTGTGAACCTGCCCTCTCTCTTGGCTGTCTCTTCTCTCTCTCTCTCCTCGCTCTCTCCCCTGTTTCTATCTGCTGTCGCTTCTTTCTCCCTGGTGTCTCTTCTCTCACTTTCTCTGCTGTTTCTCCCCGTCTGTCTTTTCTTACCTCCACTGCAGCAGCTTCCCAGATCTCCTCTCGTGTGCAGGCATTCTGTCCTCCCGCGATGCTCATGTGGCCGTCGTTGCACACGGGTAGAGGTGTCCCGCCTCTTCCCGTCTGCTGTGTCTGACACATTCAGCCTGCAGCTGCACAAGCACCTCGGGAGCAGAGCCGTGGCTAGCTCCTTTTGCGCCGAGGCAAGAAAAACAAAACGTGCCACCCCCCCCCTTTCTCCCAACAAGCGTGTGATGTCACCCAGCACCCCGCCTCCAGGATCTTTTTTTTTTTTCCGCAATTTTGGAGAAATATCAGGGATCTAAAAAGCCCCCTAATATTTCCCTTTTAAAATAGAAAAAGAAATTGAGGACACAAAGTCCTCAATCTCTTTTTCTGCAGCAACTGTTCTAAATGATTGGAAAGTACAGAGGCTTCCCATTCATTCAGAAAATATTTACTATCATCCAGTTTCTGAATGGGAAGAAGCATCTGCACAGAGTGCTACTCCTCATTGAGAAACTCATGAATGAACTGGAAGTGATGTAAAGCACCTCCTGTTCATTCTTAACTGGGGACACATAGTTCTATGTGTCCCCACTTATTTACAAACACTGGAGTGATCAGCTGATCGCTCCAGTGGTTGCTCTGCACAGAGGATTAGTACATATCACTGATATGTACTGATGCTCAGCCACGGTTCTCCTCTGGATGCCCGCTGCTCTCCCCAATCTGTTTGTAGTGGGGATCCGGGGAGGAGGGAGCCGCTGTCTCAGATCCTGGCCGAGCAGCTCTCTCTCCCCCCCTGTCAGAGCTGGTGAGGGTAATGTTAGAGTTTCATTCAGGCATGAAATTATATTGAGATCAAGTGCAGAGTAGCACCAGCTTTTTCTTCTGCACGGCCCACTTTTACCAATTCGAATTGGTGCTTGAAAACAAGGTAACTGTTTAAAAACTTTTAATAGTCTCTGATAATAATTCACCTTCAAACCAAAGTTTGTAGTACACCGACATCTAAATGGATAATATGTAGCTCTTAAATATTGTATCTAATAATATTTTAAGTAAATTACCGGTTGTTAGTTTTTAAAGTTTGTTTAGTATTTATAAGTCTATTTAAGCCACCATTATTCATTTTATTGATGGGTGTTCTTTTATAATTGTATACAGTTCATAAAATTGGTGAGTAGAAAAAAAAACCTGCATAGTTTGCAGTTTGTGGTGCCTAACTGCGAATGACCAGAGCATTTCGTTTATTGTACCTTTTTATAAGAGTATTATGATAAAGCAACCACGGTATTGTCTATGATTTTGCATTTTTTAAGTGTCCCTTTAACAATTGTCCTTTCTGCAGTTTAATTTGCGTGACTAAATTGCTAAATCACGACTTTGATTTGCATGCCAGGTTTTTGTAGTGTTTGTTTTAGCACTGTATTACATTAAAAATGGGCAGACACTCACAATAGGATAAATGGACTGAGCTCTTGGTTAAGGCCTTAAGTTACTAAGTGTTTGCCATGCCCAGTACTTAACCTGTGTTTTGACATCACAATATTTTATTTACTTGTTGCATGTTGTATGCTTACACTTGTTAAACAATGCGTGAAATGTTCATAGGAACCTACATCTGTGTGTTTTTTTATGCAGATGTAGTAATGTTTATGCCCATCTGGTATATAGTTATTCGCCATTACTCCCCCTTTTCTCCCACTGATGTTAAATATATAGCCTTTCGGGCCTAAGACAAATTTTGTACAACCAAAATCTTATAACTCCTCCTTCTTAATTAGTATGATGTGCAGTCTAACTGGTAAAGAACAGATGAGGGAAGTTTAAAGCTGTACTACAGCCTTACCTTAGTCTTGCACAGTTGTGCAGGCACATCTACTCTACGGAAATGACATGCTCTGATTTCACAGAGCCTCTTGCAGTGTGCATTAGAAGCTGCAGCAAGTTGGATACAGCCCTCTTATTCCCTGGCTGAAGGTTGTCCAGCATCATCTGTCCCTGTCCCACCCCTTTTTAATCATTGGATTTCAGTTCTTTCAATCATACAGACTAGGCATTTGTGTGGGTGTTACTTAGAGCGGTCTACATGCACAGCCTGCCTAGGAACACCCACTTCTCCAGACTGATATCCATCCATCAAGGCATTTTGATATTTGCTTAACTCCTCCCAAGAGCCAGCCCATTGCTTGCAATAGGGCGGATGACTCTTAAGAGGAGTATTAAGGCAGGGTGCTCTGATGTTTTTAGGGAAAAATGGTATTGAGAGCGCTACTACTGTACTAGGAAACTCACGTTTATTAAGTCATCTGTGGGAGGAAATCCCGTGCGGACCCTGGGTGAGTGCAGACCTGAGGAGTCCAGTGGTCTGGTGGGTGAACTGTCAGCGAGGACGTGGGCTGTGGCGGAAGGACAGCTGTCTCTTGCAAGGACTCAGCTGGCCAGGCTGGGTCGTTGCAGCCGAGGGCACTGTGTTCATCAGCCGGCTGTTTATAGCTTGACAAAGAGGCCCCGCCTCGAAACGCGTAGCTACCGACCCAGCATACACTGCCTTCAGTGCTCTTTGACCCTCCCGTCATTCCCACGGGCGTCCGTGTCTGCCCGAACCACCGCTCCGCTCCTCGAGCCGACCGACACAGAGCTAACAGCACCTCGGACACACAGTGCCCTCGCTGCAACGACCCAGCCTGGCCAGCTGAGTCCTTGCAAGAGACAGCTGTCCTTCCGCCACAGCCCACATCCTCGCAGACAGTTCACCCACCAGGCCACTGGACTCCTCAGGTCTGCACTCACCCAGGGTCCGCACGGGATTTCCTCCCACAGATGACTTCATAAACGTGAGTTTCCCTATATGCTTAGTACAGTAGTAGCGCTCTCAACACAACTTTCACACATTTCCTTATCACAGGGCTCCTCTCTCTGTTTTTCATAGAGCTTGCACACTGTAACCCTTGTCTTTACATCAAATCTCCCAAGAGTTTGTACCCCCTGGTTGTGCGCTTGTCCTTTTTTTTTGTTTTTGTCCTGATGTTTTTAGGGAGAAGCACAGGGACCCAGTGATGATGTCTTTGGGTCTAGATTAAAGCCAAACTCCAGGAATTTTTTTATTAACCCTTGCAGTGGGGCTACACCCAAACTGCAAGGATTAAGTGCTCATTTGCACAGTGCAGATTCCGGTTTATAAAGAGCTGGAAACCACAAGCTAATCCTCTTCTCCAGGTTGAGGTGGCACTCCAGTTGGGGGGTCATGTGTGCTTGCTTGCCGTGCAGCAGGATCAGAAAGAACGCGGACAGGTCACCAGTTGGAGAGGGGGCCGGACGCAAAAGTGGCAGCAACATGACCCTACAGTTTTTCATAAGAAACAATACAGTGTGTGCAAGCAGTGGCATAGGTGATATGGTTGTCTGTTACCACCAGGGCCAGTCAAGAATTTGAGTTGTGAATTTTCCAGCCCTGGAGAACAGGCTGAACCACTAACTGGCAATGCCGTATACCTGTAATCCATCTTTTATATTTACCCCCCATCACCTTCTGCATGGCAGCTGAAATGTCAAGTCCGGCAGACAATGAAAGGGTCTCTTCTGGCTGCTAAGAAGGGGGGGGGGGAAAGTAACATCACTAATACAAATTCAATAATTTGCTGTAGAATTTCCATCAATACTTCTCATATTTTATAGACACTGTTGTGGTCGTGCAACGGCTCTAATCAATTTATAACTAGCTTTTTAAAGTAAGTTGCCTGTGGATAGGGCGTTTTTACAGAACAACACAATACACACATTTTCCAGCACTTATACCAGCTAGCCGGCAACAAAAACAAATTCTACATGTTGCTTTAATTTGATTTAAAAACAGAGGTTTTTTTGTTGTATCTCCGCGTTTAGGCCCTATTACGTGTGGTCCCTAAGTCTAGTCTAACAGAGCTCCCATCATGGGATAAATATAACCGTGAAAAAACTAAAGGCCGGTATGCCTTGAGGTAGCCCATTCCTCAAAGGAGCAGGGACACACTAGAAGCGCAGCTCTAAGGTGGGATTTAGGCCTTAAGCAGGCAGACCAGTAAAGCAATAAGGTAGGAACAGAGCACATACCTGTAGGACTACCATCATCTGTACAGCCCTGCATGCCTGTGGAACTAAGGAGTGGATTTCCAGCCATGCTCCCAGCGTGTATCCATCGCCGCAAGAGTTGTCAAGCTTACTAATTTCTACCTCTGATCTACGTCTTATGCAAGGCTTCTACTTGTGTGTGTTTTGAATTTTCTTTGGCTTTATAATAAAGGAGACCTGCTACACTATGCCAGTGTGCACTCATTGATGATTTGTAGTTTGTATGAGCGCTCTTCCCTGTTTTCCAAGAGCTGCATGGCTGAACTCTGAAGCATCGCTTCACCTGTAGCTATACAACATTACAATTTTAATAGTCTATTTAGTGTTATATCACCTTGTGTGCATTACAAGAACAGCAGTTTTTGCAGTTTAAAATCACCTAGCTGTAGGATCTTCCTCCAGCAGTGCAGAGAGGAGAAGTCTGCAGGGCAACATCACATTGGCTCACCCTGGAAAATTAGTGTGTACCAGTCACCCAGGGCACAGTTAGCAGGCTGGGGTGACTGTTGAAGGTGCAGCATTCCCTATTGAGAAGCCTAGACAGCAGGCAACATAAGTGTAGAATTAAAGGTGAAAAAATCCAATTGCTGCTTGAAAAGGTGCCCCAACAATAAAGCTGGGGCACTTGCATCTATTTTTTTTCCCCCCAAAATATTTCTTTTTTAAACTTTAAATTGTGTTGTGGAGAATTGGTCAGAATAGCTGGTTTTATTTTTCCTTTTTAAGTTTATACCTTAAAAGTACTCACAAGCTAGAAAGAAAGCAAGCCACCAAAGTATGTTGGTATCCTTTTTAGAGCTTTCTGCTTGTTTTAGAAATCCCAGTGTCACTGTTGTCTTTCATCTCAATATAGAGTCTCCCATGAATGTCTCTGCCATATCTTTATGCCATGTACAGTACTATAGTAAGTGTTTGTATAGGAATCAACAACTTTCTTTTCTGATTAGTTCTATCACACACAAAAATGTGTCCCCTTGTTAAACTACTGCGATGTGGATGTACTTGTATGTTAAAAAGCTTACAAAAATGTGAAAATATGTTTTGTCTGCTAGTTGAAGCCCAAGCAAAACTTTGCATATTACTGTAGGGCCCATTTCACATGGGTGGCCTGATCGGGTCCGCCTGTCAAGAATTGACAGGCGTGTGAGTGTCTTTGATTTCCCAACTGTACTCTTTGCTGCAATAAGGGTTAAAATGCCCTGTGCTGGCAGTATGGTGGAGAGCCGGACCACTGCTCAACACAGAGTGCAGTGGTCTGGGTCTCCAGTGGTCCAACATGCCCTTTGCACAGTGTTCCAAATTGCAGCACTTATGCTCCCTAAGAAGTGCTGTTAATTGGAGCACTGTCCAGGGGGTGGCTCAGAACGCTCCTCTCTGTGATGAGCACCCATCTTGTTCTCTCATTCGTTCAGCAAAGAGTATTCAAAAAGATGCCCAGATTTATTAGTGTTTATGCAGCCTGACTGCATTACAATATCCTGCTGAGCTTGTCGGAAATTCAGAGTTCTCCTGAGTCCTCAGCACACTTCCGGTGTTGTCTCAAAGTGGCTATTTAGCCCTCTTAGTTCTTATCATTAATTACAGAATGAATATCTTTTGTGGTTGGGATCTGAGTAGGAATGGTTGGGTAGTTTAGCAAAAGACACTGGGCAGAGCTAACAATGCTCTGTCCACTAGAAAACGTATGATTGAATAAAACATGGAGAAATGTGCATGTACTGCAGAGATGCACTGCATTTTATTTCAATTTTGCTTTGACAATACTCTTTAATCTCTGTTCATAGAACCCAGGTGTTACATATTGTGCCCTTCTCCTTATGTCCTGTTTGTGACATTTGTGAAGACCATGAGTTATTTGACAAATCTTTAATACTGTTATGCTAGATGTTTAAATTATTGAAATTTCCATCTGTAAATTTGACAAGTGTTTTTTATGTTAATCTTCTGCACACGTGTAAATTGTGTACATGCATTAAGGTTGGTTTATTAGGAACTCCAGCTTTCTTTTCATTTACTAGAAATCTTTTTCTACACCATTGTCATGTACCACTATCTACAAATAAAGGTCAAGTCTGGTAAAGTGGTATTTGCAGTTTAGGTGGAGTTTTCTGGACACGATCGCCAGCTGGAATGTTTTATGACACTTTTGGCATAATGCCGAAAAGTGCAATTTTCCTGCCGATACATCGATTGAGGACTTTGTGTTCTCAATCTCCTTTTCTATTTTAAAAGGGAAATATCAGGGGTCTGTTTAGACCCCTAATATTTACCCGAAGCCCCTAAAAGAAAGTAATGTAAAAAATATAAAAAAATTAATTAATAAATAAAAAGTAAAATAAAAACGGTTTCGGCCTGACAATTTTTTTTTTTTTTTTTAATTTCGGTTTCGGTTTTAAAATTTCCATTTGGGTGCACCTCTACTTTTTTGTAATGGCCGTGGCAAATGGGCTGAGTTAGCTTGCTTCTGAGGTATCCACAATATGCACAAAACTGATTTTAAAAGTCTGCCTGCTACTATAAATGCATATCAGAAATTACTTCTTATGCCTGGGGGGTGTATCTGTTTGCATATCATCAAACAGGGAGCTATTAAATCGTATGCAGTTGTGTTGGATTTTTAATAGGCTGATTTATCCTTTTATTTATTGGTGCAGGGTTTTAGGAACAAACCAAAGAAAACCGGGCATGTAAAACCAGACCTAATTGATGTGGATCTTGTCAGAGGTACAGTATATAATAGGATTACACATTTAACATATTTACTTCCTACACAGCGGCTATTGTTCTAAGTTGCTATTTTGTAGTAACGTCATAATAACAGAGATATATCATTCAGGCTATTCCAGTCTCCGGAGCATGGATGATAGGTGACACAAAGTGTACCGCATGTTTGTTTTTCTATGTTTAACTCTTGATTTTGCCTTGACCCAGCACATCCACAGTAACACCCTTGCCTAGAGCTCTTTCTGTCTCTGTAGATTGTGAAAATGTCCCATAAACAATGAACACATATTACATATTTGAGTGACTGCAAGGATTAACCCTCTCTACACTGCACTCACCTTGACTTTAATGTTACTCAAGTTACAAAAATAAGTTCTATGAAACTCTGGATTGCTAGAATGTTCACCGGTTGCTTAACCTTTCACAGTACCAAATCTGTAACTAGAACACCTCTAGGTTTCTGATAAATGTTTATTGTAACCAAATAACTGCTTATTTTTTAAACATGCATTTGAATTTGTTTCACATTGTCAAGGACACCAAGGGATGTAATTAGCAGTTGCAGCTTGAACTTTCAACAGGTCAGCAGCAAATGGGAACAAGTCTGTCAGGTCCATTAAAGGAGAACTATGAGATGAGTGATTTCCACTCACCTCATAGTTCTAGCCGACCTGTGACAATGAGACTGTCACAGGTCGGCTCAGTAGATCGAGAGGTGAGCGAACACATACCGGGTTCGCTCACCTCTCGATCCTGTCACAGCTCTCTGCCGGTACAGGGGAGGGGCTGGATTCCCCCCTCCCCGCTCCGATCCTCCAGCGCTGACTGGCGAATCAGACGGGGAGGGGGCGGGTACAGCTGGCTCTGCCTCTAGATAGGCAGAGCCAGCTGTCACTCACGCAGCTGGGCGGATCTCCAAGTGAGCGAACGCATACCGGCATTCACTCACCTCTTGATCCTGTCACAGCTCTCTGCCGGTACAGGGGAGGGGCTGGATTCCCCCCTCCCTGCTCCGTCAGCGCTGACTGGTGGAACGGATGGGGGAGGGGGGCGGGCACAGCTGGCTCTGCCTCTAGATAGGCAGAGCCAGCTGTCACTCACGCAACTGTCGGGATCCGCTTCAGCTGCGGCGTCTCAGTATACCACGAGCTGTAGCTCACGGTATACTGAGCTTAGGGTAACGGGAGGACGCTAGTTTGTGTCCTCCCGTTACCCCAAGGCGAGCTATGGGGAAAATCACTGACCCCCATAGTTCTCCTTTTTAAAGTAATATTAAACTTTCAAAGCTCAAAGGGAAAGCAAAATAATTGTCAAAGGACCTGCGGGAAAAGGTAGTTGAACTGTATAGAACAGGAAAGGGATATAGAAAGATATCCAAGGAATTGAGAATGCCAATCAGCAGTGTTCAAACTCTAATCAAGAAGTGAAACATGAGGGGTTCTGTTGAAGCCCAACCACGGACAGGTAGACCAACTAAACTGTCGGCTAACTGCCAGGAAAATTGTTCGGGATGCAAAGAAAAACCGCAAATAACTTCAGGTGAAATACAGGGCAGTCTAAAAACATGTGGTGTGGCTGTTGCAAGATGCACAATAAGGAGGCACTTGAAGAAAGATTGGCTGCATGGTCAAGTTGCCAGAAGAAAGCCAATACTACGCAAATGCCACAAAGTATCACGCTTACAATACGCCAAATGCCACAGAGACAAGCCTCAAACCGTCTGGCACAAAGTCATTTGGAGTGATGAGACCAAAATTGAGCTTTTTGGCCACAACCATAAACACTACATTTGGAGAGGAGTCAACAAGGCCTATGATGAAAAGTACACCACTCCTACTGTGAAACACGGAGGTGGATCGCTGATGTTTTGGGGATGTGTCAGCTACAAAGGCACAGGAAAGTTGGGCAGAATTGATGGCACTAAGAATGCAGTATGTTATCGAAAGATACTGGAAGACAATTTGCATGCATCAGCCCGGAAACTGCGCATGGGACGTACTTGGACATTCCAACATGACTGATCCTAAACACAAGGCCAAGTCGACCTATCATTGGCTACAGCAGAATAAAGTGAAGGTTCTGGAGTGGCCATCTCAGTCTCCTAACCTCTATATCATTGAGCCACTCTGGGGAGATCTCAAACGTGCAGTTCATGCAAGACAGCCCAAGTATTTACAGGACCGGGAGGCTTTTTGCCAGGAAGAATGGGCAGCTTTACCATCTGAGAAGATAAAGAGCCTCATCCACACATACCACAAAAGACTTCAAGCTGTCATTGATGTTAAAGGGGGCAACACACCGTATTAAGAACTGGGGTATGTAAACTTTTGATCAGGGTCATTTGGGAAGTTTCTGTTGTCATTATGATTTGAAAAAGAGTAAACACAGTTGATTGTTAAGTGGCTTCAGCCAAACATTACCCATGAGTGACAAAGATTTTCGTGTTATCATTCATATTCTCTGAAAAATGGCCACGAAATCATAAATTCTGTCAGGGTATGTAAACTTATGAGAACAAGTGCATATAGTGCTCAGCAAAGGATTGCTTTACGTTTTTGCCCGAACATTTGCAATCATGTTTCTGAACAGCTGTTTTAAAGTCTTTCAGCTCGGCTTCCCTGAACTTCATGTCCAGCACAAGATCACAAAGGACAGTCCAGACTCAAAGTAACTGTTCATCTACTAGCCTGGAGAAGGGAGAAGAGGGGGCCAGGGGGGGTGTCTTGCCTTGCTGTGTGTTTGTGGAGACGCACAACAGCTTACTAGCACATCTGCAGGGAACTAAAACTTTTAAACATCAAGGAGCAGCATTCATTGTAAGTGATTTTCATCAGCATTTGAAATAGCTTAAAATCCTTTTGACTTTAACATCACTTTAAGTAAAGAAGTACAAAGCAGGAGTAATGAGCAAAATGTACTAATCCAAGGCAACCAAAGCAAAATTGTATGTTACTTTTACTACAGTAAACAGGGATACAGTAACCCTCTGTAACAGGTTACAGTCTCTAGCCTTACTGATTAGAGTAGTTCTAACTGTGTTGGTGATCTTTCCCTATGGTATTGAAATATGTAATATTGTACAAAAGTTGGAAACTGAACGTTAAAATCTAATGGGTCTCTGGTGTGAAAGAAAGAACAAAGGACTGTGTTGCCCACAACAACCACATTCTAGTTCTCTTTGGTTAGTTGAGAGGGTTATCCTGGATGTTCTTCCTTTTAGACACTTTCTATATTCTGATCATTACCATTAACGGAGCAGTTTTTGTTTTTCAGATCCCCATTGTAATAAAGTGTCACCTGTTGATCCTGCCAGTAGATCCTTTTTATTTTCCTCTTCCTGCAACAGGCCAAGAAGTCCTGCAAAAGTGGCAGTTACTGGGTTGGGAAAATCCATAACATGGCTCCTATGGCTTAATATCCAATTACAGATTGGAGCCTCAAAAAAAAACGACTATATTGGCTCCACTGGCAGTGGCTAAATATAAAAAAGCATATCTGGCTGCTATACTTTTCCAGTGTTGTGCCCCACAGGGTCACAAATCCAGCGATCGGGCACCACTCCTCCACTGGTATGACTTCTGGAATGACTACCAGCTCCAGAAATCTCTTCTATAGTCGCCAATCAGATTCCTTAGAGTGAAATAAATCTGACCGCTCCAATTCCACGGCCGCCAACAGCCTCTATCTTGGAATATAATGGCATACGCACGGGCCGCTCTTCCAGACGATTCCAATATAGGCTTTATTGAAATTCACTGCAAATCCAAGGTGACAGTGTAAATAATGATGAATACCAGCACCGCAAACTCCTGACCATCTAAAACCTCTTACGATCTTTACCCGTAGGCTTATTCATAGTGGTGCTGGTATTCACCATGATTTACAGTGTCACATTGGATTTGCTGTGAATTTCAATAAAGCCTGAAGTATTGGAATCCTCTGGAAATGCAGTCTGTTCATATGCAATCAGATTCCTTGTTTTGTTCTTCTTCCTTTTTTTTTTTTTTTTTTTTTATTCATTCAGAGGAAAAAAAATGTAATCTAATTGGTCACTCCGGAAACTCGTGTACCTTTTTTTGGAGATAATTTTTTTTTTCCTGTATATTTTCGTTCATATAATATCGTAATTTTTTTTTCTTCTTATTGTTAAAGGGTCTGCATTTGCAAAAGCAAAACCTGAAAGTCCATGGACATCTCTTACAAGGAAAGGAATTGTTCGTGTTGTATTTTTTCCTTTTTTCTTTAGATGGTGGCTTCAAGTTACTTCAAAGGTCCTCTTCCTTTGGCTGCTTCTACTATATCTTCTTCAAGGTAAGTGAAACATGCTTTCAATAAATGTATATTTACTATACTCGCACTCCTAATTTTATATCTGTAAAAGTGCTTAAATCCAGCTGCTGTGCCGATAATCGTGTGTGTGTGTGTATATATATATATATATATTTAAAAGCAATTAAAAACTTGCATAGATATATTGCGCATTCTCCCGTACGTTTGTATCAACATAACGTTGGATGGGTGGCACTTACTGTTGTCGTCATGCCGTTTTGATCATACGGTTGTGAGCTTGTTTCAGCGATGCAATCGAAGGATGATGCTTGGCAGAGCAGACCAGATGGTGTCTTTAAGCCAGACTAAGGAGGGCAGAGGAATGTTTTATATATGCTCCTTTTATTAAAGCCCAGAGTATTGATGCATATTCTGGATCTATTATGAGGCTGATTTATAAAGGGTTCTCCAAATGTATAGCTGCGTAAATGCTATTAGCAGGGCACTACTTCCTTTAGATGGAGCCGAAGAGCATAGGATTTCCAATGCTTCTTGGCTCCATCTAGCGGTAGTAATGCCGTGTATCATTCGCCCATCTATATGATGGACAAACCCTTTATATATGACTGCTTGTTTCATGAACATTGCTTCATTAAATTCTGTGTCCCAAATATTCTTATTTACATCCTTTCACCACAAATACTATGGAAGTAATTTGTCTCGCAAAGGCTCAATATTTGTCTTGAAAGTGTATTTTATGCTGTACCCACGCTGCAGGCAGTATATGAGCAATCTATTATTCTAATTACGAGCAATCTATTATTCTATTTACATTTGTGTACAGTATTTCAGAAAGTTCTGACTCACTCACAACAGTGTTGTTTTTTTAAGTTATGTATAGAAAAGGGAAGAAACATCTAAAATCTGTTGCAGTCTTTGACATGGTGTACAATGATCCAGACAGTGACTCAGTCTTAACTGCTAAGTTGTAGAAATGCATATGTTAACTATTTTGTGTGATTTAAACTTTGTTGCTAGTTTTTCATAAGTTGGCAAAATTCAATGGTTTCTTTACCATTTTTTAAAGTCACCATTTTTGTTTTGTTTTTTTATTTTGGAAAAGGTTAAAACACCTATAATTTTTTTCTGCATTTTAAAGTTGGAGAGAATCTTACTAGAGAGCGGAAAATGTCCACTTAGACGGGTGTCATCAGAGCAGGTGTCCCCAATTGAGGTTTCCCCTCTATTCCTGTTCTGGTGTCAGGTGTCACTAGATCATAGACCGGGTGACTCTCCCAAGTAAGGTCACAGACTGCAATAGAAATTTGGTTAAAAGATCAAACCCTTCCCTGATTTGCCTAAAAGTTAAGTTTTTTTTGGCATTCGATACATTTTAATTCGACAACACTTTGTCTATGCATAGTGATTGTTGGAGTTGTGCTGATGAGAACTATAGAACACAAAGACTGCTTTTTTGGTGCATAGCAATAAACTTCTGCCATTATATGGGCTGTGTATACTATTTATTCATGGTGTTACAGTGGACAGTGATAACGGTATCTAAATCCAAGAACAATATCTAATATATTGCAGCATGGCAGTGCTTCGTTACGGTGGCTGCGTTTGTTTTCTTTTTGAGGTTTTTTTTTTTTTTTCTCTCCTTTTGACCGGGTGATCCTGCCAGTAGCATACTTCCTTGGGCAACCATTTTAGTTTTTTTCTTAAACCTTTAGTCGGCATTAAAGCAGAACGTAGTGTTTTAATGCTTATTAAAAATAGAGTATCCATGCACACTTGCAAGACTGTTATGTGGCTATATTGAAGATTACCCAACGGCTGTGTAGGCATAGCAGCATGACCTGGCTTCTTTGTCACCTCTTGGTTTGAGCTTTATAGACTGCACAGCCCACAGGTCATATGTTTTCCACACCGCCATCATAGTATATTGTTATGCTCCTTCATTTGCATTGGGGACAGAAAATATCACTGCACCGAACAATGTGTATTGGCAGCAGCAGGTAAAATAAACAAAGAAGTGGCTGATAAAAGATCAGGAGGCAGGGGAGATTAGGGTGAGGGTAACACTGCCCTATAACTAAAAATAGTTCCTATGACGGAATGATTACATTACTTCCTCAGACAGTAGTAACACCTTCATTACCTCCCATTAATGCTGAGTAACGGAATCTATTGTAAGGCATAGGGATAATATGAAATTTGCATGAAAAAAAATTGTTCTGCTTAAATGAGCCCAAATTTAGTTTCTTCCTGCCAGCGTGTGTGTGTCTAGGTGTATAATTTGAGCCTGCATTATTTTGGTCATTTCATTGAGGCAGCCCATTCCTTCTAAATGGGGTGTCAGCATACCACAGGGCACAATTATTGTGAAACTTCGGGTTTGTTTGTTTTCTGGGGGTTTTTTTCTCTTTCTTATTCAACACCGTACACCAGTGATGCACAGATGATTCTCATTGAGGTGTCCTGGCAGGGTGCATTTGGGTGCCATTTTAAAATGAATGGCACTGGATTGTGGGCTACAACAATATGTAGGCTAACCTGTTACTTTGATTTTTCACTATTTCACAAAAAGGCAGAATTTAAAGTTTACGAAAGTTTGGTATTAACATTAATTCAGTTTTATCTCTTAGGTTTAGTAAGAATTTTGGACATTGTATTTGTGTGCTAACAACGATTTATAATAACCATTTTTATCGTTTTTGTACGTTTTTTTTTTTTTTTATTATTAACACTTACCCAACTATTATGAGACTTAAAAAATCAAGAGCCTGTGCACCATGTTTTAATTCTGCAGAGCCTATGGTTTCAGAAAATATATATTTGAGTGGCCTTCTACTAATTTTAAAGCTGTAAGTGAAAAATAACCAATAAAATAACAAAAGGTTGTCTGGCCTCCTGAAGTGATAAATGGGAGGCAGTGCCCAGCAGTTAAAGGTAAATCCCACATCACTATAAAAATCCTTACAAAAGTAACTAAATTATATCATTCTGGGTGTACCGTGTGAAAATAATATCCAATGTAATGCAAATTGTTTGAGTAAGTAGGGCTGCTCAAAGTTAATTTTTGAAAGTGCTTTCAACAAGGTGGGTCTCCTGACTTATTGATTTGCTGACCAGTTGTATTACATTAAAAACACATGAAATTATTTATGGTGCAATCAAGTGACTAGCATATCTGACCTTTTTTCAAAAGCCGTGGTAGCTTTTATTTGCATTCCCTTGTCAGTATCTGTTTCCATGGTAACGTATTTTTAACTTGCACGTATGCTTTATGTTTATTGAGGGTGCAATTAAAACCACAGTCTTGATATAACTATTCATTGTGCTCAAATAAATAAAACCATCTTTTTCTTTTGGCTTAGAGTGGTTAGTCAAATATGATTCATACAGCGCTTTATATTTCTAGACAGCGCTAAAGACATTTTATAATTTGTTTTTTTGGCAAGTATTGCAAGCATAATGATTTTTAATGTCTGACATTAGAAATGGCACTCGTATAATATAATATTTTAATTGCCTTGCTCTTGGCTATCTGGAACACAGGTCATAGCTGCTCAGTAAGAGCTAGTATAAACAGGCCTTATACACGTTGACTCTTGTGCTCTTCTATCACACAGCGAGTAAGGCAGTTGGCAAAGAGCCCCACTAGTGCATTTAGCACAGGCTTCCTTAGCAGGGGACAGGTCTCAAAGGCTGTAATATATTATAACTTCTATGGTCAAGTGACAGGGCATCATGTTGCCTGTCCCTACGTGAATTCCCCAAGTCTCTCGCACACTTCTCCAGGTAAGCACTTTCCCTCGTCATCTCTCACAACTTAAGATCTCACTTCCACAGTGGACTACCACCTCCTTGGATGACTGACATAACATTCTTATAGCATTTGTTTTAGATGGCTTCTAGTTTCAGCTGCACCTAGTGGTAGGCTGAAATCTCTTTTATAAGCTCTTTTATAGTAACTGGTATAAATTAAGGCTTGCAATATAGTAGCTTCAGAACATTTTGCTTAACCTATACATCCAACTGTTGATTATTCAATAGAAGAATGAAGTAGGTTGAAATGTCTGTGCTTTCTGTCATCTTACAGTGTTCTTTCCTCACTTTTGTTGATTGGACTTGATTTTATAAAATGCCCATGGAGGGCCTGGCACTTAAGCTGGCCATACACCTTACAATTATCTGCAGATTTTCTGTGGTCAGATGGAAAAGGTGCAACAGATTCCTCCATCTACACTTAACTGTGTGGATGGAGTAATCTCCACCTAGGCCAATCTGTTGCACTTTTTCCATCTGACCACAGAAAATCTGCAGATAATTGTAAGGTGTATGGGCACCTTAAGTGTAGCTAGCTATAGCCCAAGCCTGGAAAATCTTATGTATTCAGCGGTCTCCAACTCAACAGAAACTTTCTATTTTTGCATAATTAGAAAGGGATTGCAGCATCACTCCACTGCAATTGTGTGGTCAACCACACAATTGCAGCACTGTAATGTTGCATTTGTTGACACACTTTGCCTCCACTCCAATGTCTTTTGATTAAAAGATTTTATATTTTGGTGAAGATCATGTGGAGTGCAGTTTTGTGAGGAACTTCTCATTTTTCCTGGACTGTCCGGCCTAGCAACTTCATCCCAGGAGCTGACTGATGCTGATATAAGTCTCCAAGAACCACACATTTTAGGGTAAACAAAATTTTATTAGACAAGGGACATCTTTTAATAACGGTACCTAAACCAAGAAAGCATCTCCAAATCATAAATTAGTAGCTCACAATAGTTAAATGCATGAGAAGGTAGTTGAGGCATATTGTCCTTCACTGTCGCGCGGAACAACCATTCCAAAAGTAAACATCATCCAGCACAATAAGGGGAAGGTTTCCGGAACAGAAAAGTAATAGGTAGAAAAGGTGGAGAGAGAGAAAGAAGAGCTAGAACAAGAGGGGGAGAGAGAAAAGAACAGGAGAACAAGGATCAAAGAGAATGCAGCAGGGTTAGGAGATAAGTAGTAATGTAGTTAGGATTATCAGTAGGGTGCAGGCGCCTCATGAGAGGGAGGTACGCTCCAACAGAGATTGGAAGCCGTCGGATTCACTATATAACATCCAGCCAGGCCAAATCTGTCTGTGAAGATCTGAACGGCCCCTATCCTCAGCTAGGTGAAAAGAGAACCACAAATTTTAAATGCGGGATCTGCAAGTAAGTCTTGCAACAGTTGGTGTCAAAGTGCATGTTTGTACAATCAAAAAGAGATTGCACCAACTTAACCTGCATAAGAGGTGTGCCAGGAAAAATTATTTGCGGTCAAAAAATAACATTAGAGCAAGAGTACATTTTGCCATTAAACAAACAGGCAAAGGCCAGGCCTTCAGGGACCATGTGCTGTGGACTGATGAATCAAAGATAGAGTTGTTTCATCCTCTAAATCGGTTAGATTATGTATTATCAATCCAGTAAAAAAGCAGATGTTTTGACAAATTCAAGGGGATAAAATAGCTTATGAAAAAATGTGCTTCCCTGAAGAGTGCTTCTGCTGTCTAAGCGGACCATGCAATAAGATTGTTGTAAGCATTTCCTTTTAAATTTTATGTATGGGGTGCTAGATTAGTGAATATTTTCCAAATTCTTTAAGTGAATTGCAAAAAAGTTATTTAAAAGATGTTTCTTGCAGTGGCAGTGCTGCTACATGTTGTTGGGTTTATCAAAATTTGTGATTCCTGAATTCCGATTGTGCAGGAAGAGTCTGACGTGTGAGCTATATTTCATAAAACACAATCTACAGCTTCTTTTTTTTTTATTATTATATGAAGCACTTTCCTTGAATATTGAAGCACATTTCCAGTGTCTTTCACGAACACTCACTGGACAAAATATTTGTAGGAGTCTCTAAAGTGTGTGTGCGCATTTGTGTTATATTATCCCAGATGTTGACAGTGAATGCTTCTGCAGGCACTCTTCTGTTGTCCTTTTTATTTGTTAAACAAAAGCTTTTAAAACATTCCAAATGTTTTTCTGTTTTGTAGTTGCCTCAGTAGTACTTTATACTATTTCACCCGGGCCTCACTGTGTACCCTTAACCGAAATTATTGGACCAATATGGCTGATGCTTCTTCTTGGAACAGTGCATTGCCAGATTGTATCAACAAGGACTGTTAAATCGCCTCCAGTTATAGGTGGAAAAAGGAGAAGGTAATAAAATTTGTCATGTAGAATATTTTAATCATGCATGTTTTTTCTGATTTAAACTAATGCACTCGAGTGTGACAAATAGCCTTTTGGGTGATCTCTAGATGAGGGCACCAGCTAATTACAATATCATAGTCTTTTACATACAATGTGCTAGTTTGGCCCAGCATCTGAACTTTGTCATTTTTAGCCAGTATCATTTGTATGTGACACCCTAGGCCATTCAAAAGGTTACTTTTGCAAAAATGAAAGTGTTTTTTTATGGATGCATTTATAAACTAACCAAATATATTTGACAAATGCTGTATTGAAACATCACTTTATGGATACGTAACATTTTTGCTATGTGATTTTTATTTTATTTAAAACTAGTTCTGAGCTTGTGATGTGCAATTAAGTGACTAGGAGTGTCTAGTGCATCGGATGTATCTGCCCTGTGACTAATTACTCCAAGAATCCTAAACACAAACAGGTGTTTGATAATAAGGATTACATATTTGTTTCATTAACACTACATAACAAGCTTGGTCATCAATACTTACCCTAGTTGTATAACTTCCTCTGAAATTGGAATATGAATAGAGTACATACAAGAATCTTTCATTGTTATAATTCTACATTGACAAAACAAATGACATGTAAATTGATCTCTACATCTGCTCATTCCTGGGCAGGGGCTGGATCCCATTTGGCTGCACTTTTCTTTGAGTCCAAAATGTTCATAGAATTTACAGCACTTAGCCAAAGAAGGCAAGGACCAAAAGTACCTGATCTTTCTTTAGGGCTTGTGGATATAAGCAAAAAGTAACATGTACTCTCCTTCAACTTGGCTATTACTGAGACTGTCCTCTAAACTCTTCTTTTGAATTGATAAGTTTGTTTTATTCTCAGAACAGATTTCCATAACATAAGTATTTAAATACATGAACACATTTTTTTAAACGCTGCCCGGTTTATATTTATTCAGGGCTTATTTTCCTCCACTGAACCTAAACAAGACACACATATGAACAAACATTCCTACCAGTAAGATCACTAGTTCCTTTCCCCTTTATTATGTCTTAGCAGATGATGTCCTGCACCTGCTAGAAGAACTCCTAAATTGGAGGAGGGCTTTGCAAAGAGCAAACCAGCTTGGAGCATTGTGTATATGTATGTATGTATGTATGTATGTATGTATGTATGTGTATATATATATATATATATATATATATATTAGCGCTCCATAAGCTAATGTTTCATAAGACAGAAGTGAGAGAAAATCTCCAATAGCAACACAGGCAGAAATAAAAATGCTTTGTTTTAATAGAGTTGGGGAAGGCTAAAACAGTTTTTGTTATTGTTCCGTGTTCCTTTTGCAGATTTTCCATCATTCCTTTCATTTTCTGGAAATTGGCAACAATGCAAAGTGGCATCAAGTAGGATGGTGGGGTGGGTTCTGTGATGGAATGATGGAACACTCTCTGCATTCCAGCACCTGAAAAAGTGCAACTACTGTCATATAGAGTGATCATAGCCCAACAATAAAACTTTAGTTCGACCAGATGGTGGCATCTATAAGTAAACACTAGAAATCAGTTAGGGGGCTTTAACATAATTGCCAGTGACCACCAATGGGGAGGGTACGATTACTACAGGTGAACACCAATTAAAGGGGGTTTAACATTATTATTGCTGACCACCAATGAATGTAAGGGTTAAAGGAAAACTATGGGGTTAGGGCTTTTCCCCATAGTTCTCCTTAGGGTAACAAGCTAGCGTCCTCCCGTCACCTTAAGCTCAGTATACCGCAAGCTACAGCTTGCGGTATACTGAGACGCTGAAGCGGATCCCGACAATTTTATGTCTGGATCCGCCCAGCTGCGTGAGTGACAGCTGGCTCTGCCAATCTAGAGGCAGAGCCAGCTATACCCGCCCCCTCCCCCGTCCGTTCCGCCAGTCAGGGCTGGAAGATCGGAGCGGGGAGGGGGGAATCCAGTCCCTCCCCTGTCACGGCAGAGAGCCGTGACAGGATCGAGAAATGAGCGAACGCCAGTATGTGTTCGCTC